CTGTAGAAGAGGACCTGCTCCCTCTGTAGATAAAAATGTCTCATTCTAAAGTAACGTAAAAACAATGTTTCCTATTTTCAGGTGATTATATACAAACATACCTATGAGTGTTATATTCCATTTCTCCCAATAGATCCTCCTAAATGTTACCTTTAATTCTTATTATCATGGGCAAGGTTTTGTTAACATATTTGCCTTTGACCATCTCTTTTGAAAATCAAGGCCAGTTAGAAATGTATTCAACTAAGGGCTAGAAAATTTTGGACCACTGATTAAATGAGAAACAAGACGAAGCTTTCATGTCCACGTGTCATAGTGACTGGTTATTCCCCCAAATCTAGCAAGCCAGTTTATAAATCTGTTATTGGCATTAGTTACCTAAAGTGGGACCTCCTACAGTGAATGTAATGGGCTGAAACCTACATTTACCAGCATTTGCATCTTAGAAAGCAGATTGAGAAAAAGTGGTGAAACAGGATGGAAGAGGCATATTCAGTAATGGGCTAAATAACTCTACACAGCATTTAAGTACTCAGAGCAGTGAACACAAACAGGAAAGCCTGTGAATTATTTTCGATTTATTTCCTCTTTTTGTGAATGGTATAGCTACAGCAATGGCTTTTGGTCTCTTTACACATCAAGGACTGCTCTGCTCATGACTCAATGCTGCCACCTACTGGTACAAACAGGCATAGCCCAAACATGATGGTACATGAGGCCCTGTGACATTACCAAAGCCATAACAAACAGTTACATCATCTGTCTTTCAAAACAAATTATACTCCCATGTAGCATAATAGTTGAAAAAAGGCTATGCTTTGAGTAATTTTGAAAAATAAAATATATCACAATATATCAAATGACACACACAATACAGTAAGAGAGCACAGATCTCCATTCAGTTCCTTCAGCAGCTAACCAGGGAGCGTCTGACGGGCTGGTGCACCTTTATCTCCTTAAAGGAAACAGCAGCTCCGCTCCATGTTGACGAGGAGCACAACTCTAAAATAGGAGAAATTGGAAAATAGATGAAAAAATAGATCAAATGCAGCTGCAATTACATTTACATCAATAAATCAAATATGTTGTGTACGCAAGGTTATTCGGCACCAAGGGAAGAAGTAACAAAACACTGTTGCTTCAATCATTTACAGTGTGAACTCATATTGATCATTTGTCATTACAACTGACTTCAAAAGGCATACTGCCCCTGATGAGTGGAATATTACTTTGTTCCACTCTCACAGAAAATGTGAAGCTTTGTTTTGTTTGTTTCGAGACATTACTGTGTCATGAACACAACACCATAATGATGCATGTAAGCACACTTATCACACGAATCAATATTCTCGTTCCTGTTGAGAGAGAATATAAGACTTGACACGTACTTGATGTAGGATCTTTAGATGAAGGGCTGTCAAAGCACTCATCACCGCGACTGGATAGAACAAGATTTTTGGCTGCCAGCTGACCCAGATTAGGCTTTTCACGTCTCACTGTAAAACGTCCTGTCAAAATTGACCAAATTCTGTCACATTCAGAGAAATCTGACTCAAGAGCTGAAGTTTCAGATCATAAAATTCTTATAAGTATCCTCACATTTTCATTTAGTATGCCAACATTCTGTCAGTCCGTGTGACATTTCTTTATAAGGAAAAACAAATTGGAAGAAGACATAGGAGCACCCTATATTTTCCATAACAGTAAGCTCAATATCACCCTTTGGGTGACTTACCAGGGTTGAGAACCCTCTCTATAGCCTTGTGCTCCAGGTGCCTGTGCAGGATGACCTCTGCCTTCCTCTGGTTTGTGCTGATGTCAGGCTCAGCCATGAGCTCCGTTATCCGCAGGTTGTTCTTGATGGCCTTGGAGGCCGTGGAGCGAGCCAGTGTGGGGAGAAGCTCCTGGTACTCTTGGTCAGTGAAGTCCCACTCTGGGCCCTGCACATCTCTGATCCTGAGAAGGGAGACTTACAAAAATTAGAATACACACATGATTATGTTACTTGTATGTTATATTTCTATGTTTTATGCATTTGTGTGACTGTATGTTTTTACAAGGTGAGTTGTAATAGCCATGTCAATCAACCCTGTGACAGCTTTAGAGTAAGGTTACACTCACACTACATCTTGTATAGTTTTATGTATAGTTACATCCAACACATTCCTGAGAGGCACATCAGCTTGACAATTCAGCAATTGGCAATTCACAGTAGTGTCTCAAAGAAATACACAAAATAAAATTGAATTTGTTTTTCTAACCTGCAGATAACCTACATAAAGCCCCTGTGTGTGTGGTTAAAGAAAGTAGCTGATGCATTTTTAAACCGGCCTCAAACTGTTCCCTTTCTGCCCTGCTCCCATCAACCCTTACCTCCTGTTAGTTAAAAGAGTATAAACCTCCTGCACCAACAGCTCAGCCGCTCCTGGCTTACAGTGGATGGCTCCGTCAATCACCTCTTTCATCAAGTGCAGATTCTGCCTCTGTAAAGACTGGGACAATACCAACGTACACGTAGGTAAAGAAAGTGTCATAATGTCACTACAGTATACGTAGTAGGATGAGCAAAGCACAACACGTGGGTTGGATTTCTTATATCTTTTAGGTGTTTCTCTTACCCTCTCGATCTGGCTCCAGTTCCTCTGTTTAGCAGAAAGTGATGTTCCTTTGTCATATGAATGCACTGAAAAGTCTTGGGGGTAATAACGAGAAAATATCTCTGCCACAAGGTAACCGCTGGAAAAATCTCTGTAACAAAAAGTAGGGAGAACAAACTGAGTATATATCTACCTTACAGTGAAATCCAATGTGAACAATTTGCTGTCTTGACAGCATTGGAAAGCATTGATGTTTCTGTTTTTGTTATGCTTGATTATTCCACTCATATTTTATCTACAGTATTTCACTATAAGTCTGGTATATGCTTTGCTACCTCCATGTATTATGCTGCTAGAGGATACTCTATACTGTAAACGACTCTTTTAATCCCAGTAAGGCCCTTTCCAGATCATTACAAGGCAGAGTCAATCAGTTAAGTGAGGAAATGCTCAACCAAAACGACTACGGAGCCATTGTTAGCCTGTGGGTTTATATATATAATAATAACATTCCCAAGCCAGCCAGAGTTGTTAGTGATTGTATTACTTTATTAACACTCACTGAGGCTCAACTAAAACCGGACAGCACTCTAGCTATAACTTTGTTTTTAGCTAACTAACCTTTGCTTTAACTGCAAACGTCTGCTTCACATTAAAATACAGCTCACTGGAGTCATCTAACTTAGGTGAACTAACATCTAACTATAGTAACTTAACTTTACTGGTATTGTCAATGAGCTCGTTAACCCAAGACGTTTAACGCCAAACTGACCGTTTAACGTACATTTATCCCGGTTTACAGTCTGGACATCGAGCTGCGTTTTTATCAGGCCTACTGGGAAGTGTATGCTGTAAATTAGCAGACAGAGTTGTGTAGTCTTTACCTGCACACATTCTTCGGATACATTGATAAGTCGAGGGCTTGCAGCCATTTCACAACCTCTCTTGGCAGGCCCGTCTTTTTGGGAGACTGTGCATAAAACATGCTGCTCTGAGTCTGAGGAAAGCCCCAAACCAGTAATATATTTTACTGTTAACTATAAAACAAGGCAGTCCGTGTAGCTAATCACACTAAACCCCAATTAACCCGCATTTTATCCAAGGTAACGTTAACTAACGCGCTGGACTTTTCCTCTTTTGTTTGTATCTCCATGGCAACGACATTAGAGACTTCTTTGACTTCTTTGGCAACACACACACACACACACACCACCACAGCACCACGATCACACACCACAGCCACACACACACGCACACACACACACACACTGGTGGCGGTTTACTGCCCCCCGGAGGATGTAACAGTAATACAAAATTGTATTGAGGAATTCCTGTATATTCATTTGAATTAATTTCATATTTAATAGAAAAATAAGATATGATGAAATTCACATTTTTGTATAAATACAAACATGTAATATCACCATGAAATTGTGAAATAATTCAATAAAAAATGTAAAAGTCAGTATTATTAAAGGTTACTTCATACTGCTGGTTCATTGATATGATTATTTTGTTCATAATGTCCTAGGAGCTTTATTTAATTGCAGTATTATTTGTCTCAGCAATAGAAACAAACACTTGCTGCTCCACCCACTCATATTTTCCATTTAGGATTTTCCAATAAGGTCAGCCTCTTCCAGTTGCCAGCACTCAGTAATCCAAGTTTAAATGTCAACTATTTTTGTTTTCAAAATTTTTGAATTAACAATTCTTTCCACTGCACATCACAGCATTATTAATGACCAGCACAGCCCTGCATATGTACAAAGACAACATATTTTGGAATGCACCAGATTTCAAAACAATTTAATAATCTAGTAGTGTGCAGTGCATTATATATCAAATGCTAAATAATGAATGCTCATTCACATATTGTGCATTTATGACATCATAATATTTTAAAAGTGCATCACTGTCTGATAGCTATTGCAACTATTACAGCATCTTCTAAATATGACAAAAACTGAATTGCAAATAATACTTTGATTAGATTTCTTTAACCACAGTTTATCCAGCCAAGGATAATCCTACAAGCTCTTATTTTAGAAACCCCCTGCTTTACATTCACCCGGGTCCACAGTCACATATGGGATGCAAGCCAGCTCAACACAGATTGTCTACTCTGTGACTAATTTCAATTAATTGCTTACTGCATTGACTGGAAGCTAAAATTAAAGGTAGGAAGAGTTTATGGAGGCGCTCTTTGTGTTAAGGACTTCTTTCCTGTCCCATTTCGGCCGACAGTTTGGTTGTTGTGCCTGTCATTGGTACTGCAGGTAGCTCCTGAGCCTGTTGGGCAGGGGAAGGTGGGAAAGAAGGTGGAGTCTGTCACGGCCGACGCAGTTCCTGATGCACTGACGACACAGCTGGCTCAGCAGTCGTGGTGTAGCTATGAGAAGGAGGCGATTAAAAATGATATAAGCTCGTCCTTACACATAGATTACTTCCAAAAGAAAATCACTGACTAAGGTTGGACAGCGTTTTCAGAACTGTAATGCTACAAGCACAGATAAAAGGACCATGTAAATATCTGTTAATGCGGATGTTCAAACACTGGTATAAATATGACAAGTTGGACAAAAAAAGATAAAAACGCAGATCGCTTGTTGCTTATAAAAACAAGTTACAAGTGTTTTTATACCTTCATAGAGCAGTAGGAAGCCCTCTGTTAGACTGCTGGGTGGAGCCACGTCTACTGGCCTCTGAAACTCTGTGTTCCTTGCATTAATGTCTGCACCGAAGTCCAGCAGCAGCTTCACCACAGCTGTGGAGTCTTTTTCTGCAGCCGCATGTAAGGGTGAATCCAGGGATTTGCCTTTCTGTACATTTGCACCTGTATGCAGGACAACTTGGTTATCCATTCAAGACACAGTCCAGTCAGAAACGTGCACTGTTAGATATCATCAGCATATGTTGTTCACTGTAATCTAGGAATTACTTTGTGACTATCTTTTCTAATAACGTTTTTTTAAGTTCCTGCCTTCCTACATCTGCCCTTGTCTACCAAAAGTTTGCTACATTTACCAGAAGTGACTTTTAGCAGCCCACCGGTAGCATGGAATATGAGCAGACAACTAGCTTGAAAATAAGATCAGTCTGCTGTTGGCTGAGTGTGGTTGCTGTTCTCCTTACTCAAACTGAATTCCTTCTATCTGTCCTAATTCCTATCCACACTATATGTCCTTATATGATCTCTAAAAAGGGACTTTTAGCCGTTTTTGGAAAAACTGACAGACTAACAGCTACTGCTGCAGTTGACCATTTCCCAACTGACAAAAAGTAAAACTGTGTTATTGCTGCGCTGCTAGAAATGCCTGCCATGTATGTCATCTGTAATTGGGTACATCAAGAATAATGAAAGTACACCAACACAATCCAAAATAAATGTGCTTTTAAAATACTGCTCACTTCAAATAATTCCATTACTCTCTCTTTGAATGTCAAGTTTTTGGTGTCAGGGTCTAAATGCTTTTAGAATCCACTGCACATTCAGATTTGTATTTATTTCCTTGTCTGTGCACAATTAATGTGCTCACACAGAGATACACTGTGTGCGCGTCTGTACAGGACGCGTGCCTGTCTGTATGGAGATGTAAAGATCCACACTGTGCTGCGAGCTGACCTTCCCTCAGGAGTTTCCTGGCACACTCCAGCTCTTGGCAGACGCAGGCCGTATAGAGCGCTGTGCCCAGGTGAGGAATGTCCATGTCCACATCTGCCCCCCAAGTCACCAGAGCCTCCACACAACCGTAATGACCTGGAAGTAATGGAGCATGAAGACAGTACTCAGTGAGTAAGTGACAGTGCGAGATAATTCTCCAAGCTGTCTGCTTGGGTCATGTTGGGATTTATTTTTAAAGCTTTATTTTATTTATTTATTTATATTTATAGCGCAGGGTTGTTAGGAAAGTGCTTTATAGCACAATAAAGGACACAAATACATGTTGAAAGACAGGATCTAGTGTAAGTTATAATAAGTAGAGTCGAAATGATGTATTGGTTCTTGCTAGTGAGTGATAGTGAGTGGTAATATTGTAATGTCAAGATATTGAATATCAGCAGCAAAAACATAAAATAGGGATTGGGTAGTTGCATAAATGAATTGACTTAAACTTGAACTTACTTGTGACAACTGTCACACAACGCTGTTTAGACATACACAATATTAACTCAATAAGTCAATTGAGTCATCTGATATATGAACTGATGTATGCAGAATATTGTGTCCTTACCTTTGCTTGTAGCTTCATGGATCGGTGAGGGGTGGTATACAAGGCTCTGAGGTTTTGCTCCATTTTCCAAAAGAATTTCAGTGCATGCCACACTGCCCACTGTACAGGCATTGAACAGAGGGGTGACTCCATCAATTGTAGAGGCATTGACCTGTGAACAAATTTTTTTTTTTATTGTTATTTTTAGGCCTTGTTTAACCATGCAAGTTGACTAATAGCAACAGCCTGGGGGAACCGTTGAAGGGGAACAACAACTAAATAGCTCTACAGTGACTGCAGAAGAAGCATTGCATTGCTCATTTGTTACCCCAACCCAGATTTTCCCAGCCATGAAAATGACATTTGACCTACGTGGCATAGAAACATTAAAGGCCAGTACGTGACTTACATTTGCCCCTGCATTAATGAGAGCTCTGGCACAGGCGCCATGGTCTCCAACACAGGCCTCATGAAGGGGTGTCACATGGTCTATGGTCAGAACATTCACACTGTGACCCTGGGAACAGAATCAAACAGCCGCAGACGTTTAGACATTATAAGGAACATTTAGCAACACATGACCTTTGTCAACCTCTATTGGTGAACACTGGGAATTGCATGAACATCAATAAAGCTTATCTTCTTTTATAAAACGGACCCTTCCTCCTCAGTTATGGTTGTCAGGAATTGACAAACTATGCAGTGCAGTCACATTTGAACAATAGAGATTGTTAAGCTTGCTAATTAAAGTGCAGAGACAATAGCGGTCTGGTAAAGAGCTAATGAATCACTGTGTAAAATACTGTAATGATATCACTGCTTTGTCATGAGCTTGTCTGAGTTGAGAACAAGGCGTTGTTGGCTTTGTAGCTGAAATGGCTTCCTCGCTTGTGGCACACATCTCAATCTGTGAGCAGCTGGAAACACAAAAAAAAAGGGGGGGGGGGAGTTCTCACATTTATTAGTCTTTGGCATTGATCGGCAATTTTGTAGATGACCTCTGATACTGTATATAATGGTTATGTTCCTTTAAGACTGTACAGTGTATTGTGGTTGTGCCATATGGCAACAAAGATTCATTCATTTGCTTCAAAAACGTGCTTTAGTGCTGTATTATTATCTATTAAGTTACAGTATTGTAAGCTTATACAAACATGACTTTTCACCTGACATTTAAGATTTATTTCCTTAAGATTTATTAATAATGGCCAGATGTTGACTTTTTATATCTCATGTTGCAGACATTTAGCCAACCCTCTGGCATATTGTAATTTATAACCTCTGCAAGTTGCAAGCAACCAATATTGGCCAAGAGGAAGCTCCGGCCTCAACAACAGTGTTATGCACTTTTCAAATATCAGTCTTTCATTATTCTATCTATTCATAGAATTCCACTTTAGTCTGGTTATAAAGTAAATGAAAGGTATTCTAGGAACATATTTAAGCCTTGACTGCAAGAATGTCAAAAATGTAGCATTGAGAACTAATGGACGTGCAGATGGACAAATTAGATAATTACAGGTAATCCCAGATAACCCTGATGACTCCTTACTTTCATCCAAAACCTCTTTTTCCTTCACATCTAAACCAGGACTCTACAAAGGCACTGATAAAGTTAAATTACAACAGGGGGACTGTTACAGCAAACCCCATGTGTACAGATGAGGGGGGTGAACATGACTCCCCCAGGGGATTGTGTTCACCTGTAAAATGAGGGTCCTAAGAGCCAGGAGGCGGCCCTGACTTGCAGCATCGTGGAGGGGTGAGCGGTCCGCCCAGGATCCTGCAGTGAGAATAAGAATTCAGTGCCTACTGCCATTTACATTTATTGTTATTAGGCTGATGCTGAGGCTTATCCATAGCCATTTTAAATAATTGCAATAGCAGAACAAGCCTCAAATCCTAAATTACTGACAGTACAAGAGGATGAGAGTCATAACATCATTGCACAAACAGATATTCTACCCTCCCTGGAGTAATAATGACTCAGGTACAGGTACATACAGGAGATATGTGCAGAAAATATTAAAGGCATTTTTCTACCTTTTAATACAGTCATTTAAGTGTTTAACAAAGAAGCTTGCAGATTTTTTGTAAAATACTATTTAATGTTAAATTAATATAATAGCAAATAAAAACGCATTACATACCAGTTAAAACGGAAAATTGCTGATTTTATGTCATAATGACATTTATATGAATATTTTTTTTACCCTAACATTTTGGTCTAAATTTAGTTTATTCATGAAGTCTTATTATATAATAATTACGTTATTGTTTAACCAATTACAGCTGCTTAATGAAATCCCAACAATACATACAGTACACTCCACTCACATGACAAATTAATATCATCCTGAGAAATTGGCTGTGGCACACACAAAAATCTCATTAAGCACACCTGAGTCGATGTCCAGAATAACAGCCGATGCATTCCACACATTATCATCATCATTCTCATCTTCGTCCATTTTAATCATAATTTATAGATAATAATCAACCTAATGTGTCCTATGAAATCCATGCTCTTTTATTCATGCAGCCTATTTTCCTTGACTGACGTTAATTTGAAATACGGGTATAAAAGACCCAGCTACAGACATCAAACAGATTTTTCAGAACAAGGAAGACCGTATCTACAGGACTGAGGCTAATACCCTAAGCTTGGCTAATTAGTATTCCATGGAGTGGGTCCACTTTAAATTAAACATCCCCTTGAATGATAGATACAGATTATGTTGTCGCCGTGTCTCTCTTCCCCCAGAATGTGCCTTCGGAACGCCTGTTCCTGAGAATGTGGAGTGTTGTTTTGGTTGCAGTCTGAGTGTGGAAGGGTGCACTGCATAGCTGGTAATGGAAACTAGGGCAGGATGGGGGTGGNNGGGGGGGGGGGGGGGGGGGATCATGACTGAGTTCTATTAATACATTAGAGAAAAAGAGCTGCCAGCCTACAGTGTGTTCATTTAATATTGTACAGTTGAGGATTTATAAGTAGCTATTAAGCAAATGAAAGAACAGTAGGATATCATTTATATCTACAGTATGTATTAATGTGAATACAATGAATAGCTCTTATACTCATTGGATTAGCAATGCAGTATTTATAGCTCATTTGTAAACACGGAAATTGTCACTACGTGTGTGTGTGCTTGTGTGTGCACAGTGACTTGATTAAAAGAAAATATATATTCTAGCTATGACCTTATATGCCTGAGGTTGAACATGTTGCTTGGTGTATAGTGTAAACAGTATAGTTGTTTGTTTTACACCAAATTTGCCTTTAACACACCTATATATGATTTAAATTATGCAGTGTGGAGCAAAGAAACCACCTGAAGGAAGGCAAAAAACAACTCTTTCAGGCTTTTTCATATTTTTGTCAGAGTACTCACTGTGTTGTTGACCATAGTCATAGAACTCTGCTGAAATCCTGGCAGCCTCTTTACGGTTCCCACGGACAATGTAGAAGTATGCCAGCAAGTTAAGAGAAATCTTAACAAAGAGCTTAAAGCAGAACAGTGCCAAGATGCTGAGGTAAGCATTGGACAACTGGGCCGCGAAGGGCTTGTTGGTGAGTTCCCCTGTTGGGTCTGACATTTCCTCCGACACGTTACAGAGGGGCTTTGGTTATGATGAAGGCAGGATCAGATGCCACTCCAAAAAGCACAAGAGTAGTGTACTTTGTCTCCCAGCGTACTGACTGGTTGGCTGGTCCTGACAAAGTACAGGCTGGAAAAAATGCTCTGCAGCTGCCACTGTGCCTGAGAGCAACCACTGCAGTGTTAATGTACAATGTGTGTGTGTGTTGCTGTGTGTGTTGTGTGTGTTGGTGTGAGTGTGAGTGAGTGTGTGTGTGAGTTATACAAACGAAATTGAACATACAGTGCTACCTGTTCCATTTAAATCATATTAAGATGATATATATTATAAGTCTCCAATTCCTATGATTATTATTATGCATTTAATTTACAGTTATTAATGACATTTTACAGTATTTTAATGAAGTCATTTATTTTAAAAAGTGGCATTAGTGCCTTCTTGTCAATGGTACTTTTTACTTTATTTGACTTTCTGTTTTCAAGGAAGCTCATATTGATCGCTGCGCATGCGCTGTAGACTACTCCTCACCTTTTCCGCAAACCTCACTTTTGTATTTACTTCCCTCTTTAATCACTCTGTTTTTAACTGACATTTCTTCGTCAAATGAGGGGCGTCCATCTGTATTTAGCTGTCACAGCGGCCGTTTTCGCGCTCCTCTCTGCTCGCTGTTGTCTCAATGTGAGCTCAGACGAGACTCGGACAGAGTTGAATGGTTGTGCAGTTGATTTCATCTCGTTCACAGAGCAGTTCCACCGCTCGTATGTCGCTAACAGCGAGGAGTTTGACCTCCGCCATCTCTGTTTTCAGGTAAGAGACACGAGAGAGGGAGAGTGGAGAGAAACTGTGACACTTTGGACTTTCTTCAGGACATACCATAATAACAAACGGCGGCGTACGTCACTACAGGCAACGCCCACTCATGTAAATGAAGGAGACGTCTTCTGGTAATTCTATATTAATGTAGATAAAGGTACCAATTATAGCAGTAAATTAAGAATGAATGGTGGAAAGTGAAAGTTTTTATTGTTGTATTTTTTATTTTATAGAGCAATTCATGAAGTTATCTCAGGACTCAAATGTACAGAAGTACTATAAGCAACACTTACCCTTTAAAGAGAGACATTAGGATTAATAATTACTGTTCTTTTCCTTAAACTGCTCACTTTGATGACTGTGGTTGACTCCAGTTGTCTACATTTTGCTGCCCTTTCCATTCATTTACCACCTAATTTGTCATGTGTGTTTTTCCAGAATGCAACAAAGCGGCATGCGTACCTGAACTCATTCTCCACAGTGGCACAGTCTGCCAAGTACGGCATCAACCAGTTCTCTGACTTCTCACAGGAGGAATTCAGAGGTAGGCTGCAGGTTTGTCACATACTGTACGTTTGCAGAATTTGATTAGGCCCATGCACGGTATCTGCACAGTTATAGCATCTTCACAATATAAGCTCACAGAGTGAAATGTATTCACTCTATATATTTCCAATGGATTGTTTTAAACTCAGTGAGCATCTTACCCCCATGACTGGGCTGAATCTGCACATTGTCAGTGTGTTATTGTTTACGTGTATCTTTGTATCCAGGAATTACTTTGAACTGTATGTGTTATTTACAGATCTGTACCTTGGAGCTAGTGCTGACAGAGCTCTTCTCTTCCCTGGACTGAAGACAGGAAAAACAGAGGGGCTTCCAGCCAAATTTGACTGGAGAGACAAAGCGGTGGTGGCACCGGTCCAGAACCAACAAGCAGTAAGGTTTACACAAATAGATGATGAATATACTGTATAGGTAGGAACTTACTGTACTGTACAGTACAGATACACAGCTTGGTGATGTCCAAATAAATTAGTGTCAATCTAATCAATTATTAACAAATAAAGCAATCAGCAGGTGGGTAATATGCTGTCTAATGCGGAGATGCAGAATATTTCCAAATCTTAGCTGTGGAGGGGGATATGCACTTATTTAAGATCCCCTTCAGGCATGTTTTAAGATGTAGAAAAATACTGTACTTGGAATAATAATTTGTCCCAGAAATGGTCTTTCCACGAAAAAGTTCAGTTACCTCGTTGAAATCTTAAAATGACAACTTCTCCTTCTCCCGCATTGAAAATCCAGAATATATATAAAAGTGCAAATATTGTTAAAGTTAAAAGTTTGACAACTGGACGCATGATAGGACTGGCTTCCCAACCCACTGGAAGGGGATGAATTTGAGAGTCAAACACAAGCATCGTTCTGCACAGGAAAGGTCAAACATCCAAGTGAACTAACGGTAAGCAATTCACACTTTTGAGTGGAGAGGGACTTTCAGAACGGTCAAGAAAAACAGGTGGAAAATGATAAACTAAGCCATTATGTGTGACTTTTGCTAAGAGAACAGAGTGAACCTGGGGACAGAGACAGGGAGAAGGTTAGTGAGATGGAGCTGTTGCTTGTCCTTGCTGAAGGTTCACTCTGTCTGTTCCTTTTGTCCTTTATCTCCTTAGTCAGTCAAATTTGCCGTCGGGGATAATGTTTTCACTGTAAAACTGTTGTCCTAAGGGAGAGACATAACCCATACAGGTTAAAGCCAACAAGATAACATATATTTTACTCTCTTGCATTCAGGCAAGGCTTACCACTCCAGGGAAAGTATGCACATGACTACACTCAACCTACCACTCTGCTCCGCTGCAGTTTTTCTTCCCAGATTTCTTTTTCTCTGGCTCTGTCTGTGGGCCTGCCTGGGCTTAGTTTCCACAACAGATAGATAGATGGATAGACAGAAAACAAAATGTAGTACCATGCACAAAGACACAAAATATCAAGCCACTCACATCTCATAAATTCTTCTTGATCCAGTTTTCCCTTATCTTGATTCCAATTTTGTGACTCAAGCGCATTTCATTGCTTTAAAGAACAGAGCAGATGGCCCTAATATTTTGTATACTAGGCAAATAATTATCTCCAGTCCAAACAGTAATGACTGATTTTGGTTTCAGTATTGATTTTAAGCCACGGAACCATATTGAGCAACAAAATATTGGATTTTTACACAGAGCGCTCAGGTTTTCATCACATTTATGGGAATTTATGCTGAGCATGTGAACTGAGCATAGTCTGATGCTGTTTGGAGAATTAGATTGCCTGTGCAAGTATTACACGGGGAAAAAAGCGCCTTCTTACATGATGAAATACTTTGTTTTATCTCAAAAATGGCTGGTCTCAGGAAATCAGTATAATCAGTACCAGATATGAAGTATAAGAGCGACATTTGATATCAAAATATCTCAAGTGACCCTCAGCCTTAAAGCCTAATGCATTAACTGGAGCATAAAATTAGGCTTTTTTTTCAAGAAACTACTATATAACCTCAGAATTATATTTTTCTTCCTGTTTTGTTCTATTTGTTTTGTTACCTGGTCTTCATTGATTTATTGTAATATGTTGTGTGTTGTGTTGCATTATGTTGTTTATCTATTGGAAAACATGATTTGAAAAATAAGATTTTCCTCAAGACAGTATATACCTGAGATGTTTCAGTCAGTAGATGGCAGCAGAAAACAATTAGTCACAGTTCACTCACACTGGACAGATCACCTCAACATGTTAAACATCCACACTCACTATAGATTCATGATCAAGAGTCTTAAAAAAATCTGTATTTCATTCCAAGTACCATCACATTTTGTGTGGATATTACTTTTTTGAAAATGAATTACAGCATTTGTTTGGACAGCACAGGTTTTAGAAATGGCAGAGGCCATCCTTATTCAGAAATCTATTTTTTCTTTTCCTGCTGAAGTGGCCTTCAGCAAGAAGAACAAAATTATAATGTTTTCTTCTGGGTAGCCTAAGATATGACTGCACTCTGAATTTGTCCATCTTTGCTTTGCAGCTTTGTTTTTCCTGATTGCTGTAAATGTACCTTTGCAGTGTGGCAGTTGTTGGGCATTCAGTGTGGTTGGTGCCGTGCAGTCCGTCCATGCTATTGATGGCTCGCAGCTGGTGGAACTCAGTGTGCAGCAGGTTGTGGACTGCTCTTTTCAAAATGAAGGCTGCAATGGAGGCTCACCAGTCCAGGCTCTGAAATGGTTGAAGCAAGTATGTTGATATTTTTATATAATTTCAGTTTTTTAACAGATTCTTCCTAAATGGTTTATAGCAAATATAAAGGTAATATCAACCTCAACGCCCAATACTTCACACACATAAGATATAATAGGGAATATTTGTATTTAAGTGACTGTTTATGAATGAGGACACCTGTGGGAAGATACATTCATGCTGTTTTAAATTTTAACCTCTTAAAACTTAGGTGATATTGTCATGTATTTTAGAGAGATATGTAGTGGCAGTAAGCAGAATCAAATTTATGTCCAAAGTCAAACATTAATTTAAATAAATGCCTGTGCCAGGATCTTTCATAAACAAGATACATTGATATTTTCTATTCCGATAACACACTCACTGAGATATGCTATTTTCTTTCCAGAGCAAAATGAAATTGGTGCCTCAGTCAGAATATCCCTACAAGGCCAAGACAGGAATCTGCCATTTTTTCTCTCAGTCACATGGCGTTGTTGCTGTGAAGAACTTTACTGCATACGACTTCAGGTAAAAGACAGATTTCTGCAAGTCGTCTATAAGTAATAAAAGTCCAAAAATTAACAGTGCCATATTTCTGTATCATCACATGGAATTTTAATGTAGTTTCCCCCAAGTACCAAGGACAGAGGAGAGGGAAGGGGGTTTGGCCCCAGGCAGTGACAGACCACAGTGTTTACTGTGTCAACACAGATATGGATTGCTCAGTAGCACAGAGGCCAAATGACTGGCCCACAGTTACCTTGAGTTAAAGTGAATCAGATCTTCTTTATTTAATATTGAACAGGGTCATGACTCATACTCATGCATATTTAATTCCTGTTATTGTCGTATTGCTATCATTGCTAGGATAAGCGTCCTTTTGTCAGAGTTGATAAAGTTTTAATTAAGTTAATTGAATTTCCATACAATTACCAACCTAATATAAAACTTCCTTGCCTCTTATTTTTTTGCGTAGTTCCTTTCCTTACATACCATTTTTATTGGACGTAACTTTCTAATTATATAATTTGACAATATAATGTTTCATATAATGACTCTTCAACAGAATGGAAAAGTAAAACGAACCACACAATCATTCTCAAACCCAGTAAACATCAATGTCATGTTACCACTAAAAGACCTCTTTATCTCAACAATCCTCTGATCCAGTATAAAAATTTGGCTTTTGACCTGCCCCTGCTGTCAGAAAGGTCAGAGTTCTGAATCATTGAGTACATCAAGCTGCTGGAATTGGGCCCTCTGCAAGGTGGAGATGCTGGGGTCATGGGGATGTCTCAACCTTCTGTTAAAGGGGCACATAAGCCAGTTCTTTACAGCTGCACAGCAAAAGACAAACCGCATCATAAAAATTCAACAAGATAAGACCTCACCTCACCATGAATGAGGTGTAAAATTGCTTTATTCAATATAGTTTTGGCCCAGACCATAGATCTCATGGCCCATATGTCATGAACCTGGCAGACGAGGGCATCACAGCTATCCCCAGTGTGTAATCTTCTGGTTGAAAGACTAGATGAGGTTTTAGAGGGTGCCTACATATGTGCAGCAGAAAGGATGAGGGAAATACCAAATTTCTGAATGAAAAAAAGTGTATTAGTTGGTCAGAAAGTGATACACTGACTGGATGAACACAATGAGGAGGAGAGTGGAGAGAGCTAAGATGCTGATCCAGAGAAAATTGTGCAAAAATGCACCCAGTAAAAGCATTGATCTTAAGTAATAACCTCCATACAGTGTATATGCTAATACATTTCACAGGACCATGACTTAAGGGTATAGCTTACATAATAATGCAACAAAAAGCAGTGTTATCACAAGGCTATTCTTGCCTCGAGGACAATTTTCTGTTATTATTCTTCAGTGGTCAAGAGGAGGCCATGATGGGTCATCTGGTGGAGCATGGTCCCTTGGCTGCTATTGTGGATGCTGTCAGCTGGCAGGATTACCTGGGTGGAATCATCCAACACCACTGTTCCAGCCAACGGTCTAACCATGCTGTCCTGGTTGTTGGATACAACACTACTGGTACATGCTGTCACTACATTGGTGCGAGAATGGATCATATTTGAGAAAAGAAAGCAGGGATTTTATATTTTACTTGAGCTAACACTTTCCTTTTTAGGTCAAGAAAGTTTCACAAACCTAGGGCCTGTGAAAGTAATTTAAAGCTGCACGAGGCAAGAGTTTTTGGTAAAAATATGCCTGTCTTAATCTTAAATTGGTGCCGCAACAGAGCAGAGTTTCTCATCCCCTCTAATTAAGTGCTAAAAAGAGATAGAGGGAAAAACATTTTTATAACAAGACATTAACCCTATTACTGAGCGCCAAAATTCTAATTATAGTATTATTATAATTATTATTATATCAAGTGAAATATGTGTTGTCTTAATTCTGTAATTTTCCTCAATATTGTCGAGACATAACTTACACAGCACTGAACTGCATTGGATAGATGTCATAATCAAACGCAACCAGTGAAATATTTCTTTAATTAAGAAATGAAAGGACATATGAAACTCTATTATTGTGGGAAAAAAAAATGTTTAACCAGATTTACAGTGTGAAGATATGACATTATTTCACGTTTTTGCCTTTATTTTCCTGTTGGTCCTAATTTGGTACATAGTGATAGGGTAAGTAGCTGGGTTGGTAAACATGAGCCTTTTGTGTGCACCTCTTAACATCGTGTTACAAGATTTAGAAGTGTAGAAGTTCTGTTTATTCAGGCAGTGACCACCTGAAGCAAAAATCATTCAATGTGAAAAGTTGCTTAGGTGTTATTTTAACAGCAGTTATAATGTCAGAACGTTACCACAGCTACCTACCCTGCAGTTAATTTCTTGACATAATTCCCACACATCAGTATTTTGTATTACTTAGCATTAATTATTTCACACAATCTTGTGTTTTGTGGGTATTACACAAGGATATGAGTGATTATGTAACAGTCTAGAGTGGTTACAGCTGCAGTACGTACACACACACACACACTTAGTGCTCCTTTACCATGTAAATAATTAAATCTGGAATGTTGTCTGTTTTAGGGGATATTCCGTACTGGATTGTGCAGAACTCCTGGGGAACCACATGGGGGAATGAGGGTTATGTTTATATAAAAATCGGTAGCAATGTTTGTGGTAAGTATGAGCTGTGCCATCTTGTGATCTTCTGTTTATATCTCCTTTAAGTATGATGTCTGTATGTTGCTGTGCCCACTATTCCCTCAATAATTTATATTCAACTCTATTTTATTTCTATAGCACTTTACACACAACACAATTCATCCAAACCATCCATCATCCAGAACCATTTAACACATTGTAGACAAACATCAGAGTAGGAGTAACATGCTCTTTCTTTTTTGACCTTGTTAAAACTCTGAACAAGTTAGAGATGGGATAAACAAGACTGATTGCTACCAAAAAAATACAACGAGTTGCAATAGTTGAGGTGGGTGGATATAAATGGATAGATAACTTTCTCCACAAATACACATAATTAGTCTGAGTTTGGAAATCATGTGGAACTGCATGAAGCTTAATTTTAATACCTGATTGATTTATTAGTCAGACCTAAATTCTGAATCAGATATGACTCCAACATTTTTTACAAGGCAATTGGTCTAGATATGGAGTCATAATTTAAAGTTATTAGTTTCTATGATCAAGTAAATCTGTGTACAGTCAAAAGATACATTTTTGAATAATGTGGCCCAGAGGAAGCAAATACATGGAGAAAAGGATTGGACCAAGAATGGAACTTTGGGGGACACCACAAGACATGGGCAAAGGAAGAGGATGATTTGCTAATAGAAACACCCCACTGGTTTCATCTCTGAATGAGAATAGTATCAGCTACTGTATCAAAGGCTATAGTTAGATGTAAGAGGAAGAGAATGGAAATGTTCAACATCCTTATTTTTTTCTTTCCCCAGGTATTGCAGATTCTGTGGCAGCAGTTTTTCTTTGACGAGATTGTGTGTATTGTTGTCCTTGTATGTGTTTGTGCATGTGTTCACTGCTGTCCAATTTTAAATGATCTCTTTGCCTTCAAGTGTCACTTTAAATAATGTGTTTTATTGAAATGTCAACAGGTTACATCACTAAAACAAAATAAATCACTTTATATGCTGATAAATGTTGGATCATATCTGAGCGATCAACACACACAACACTGCAAAAAAAAAAAAACGTAACTGTAATAATAATAGATGCACTGTACAAAAAATGTATCTTATTAAATACATAAAGTGGATACATATTATAGGTGCTCTGGCTTATACATTTATCTATATAGTGATAACATCAATCACTGCATAAATACATAACACAATTAACTTTACAGCATACTATACAAAACACAGTATTACACAACTACATTATTAACATTATATACAAATTTTATGTTTCACATATATGCTGTGCAAATTCTTGTATTTTAGATGTTGGACATTGATTGTTTATACAGAGGTCTATTGTCATTTTATTACATCTTGCATCCTTGCATCTAAGCCACATCCCAATAGTCTGAAATGGCTTTTTTTTCTGACACCTTCCCTGTGTTGACATGAAAGATAATGATTTTTCAAAAAACCCATCATCGCCACCAGTTTGATCACTGCTCTCACCGATCCATTTGTTTTCAGGTCAGTCACAGTGAATTTACATAATTTTATTGAGAAAACATCTAAGCAAATCTTATCAAGGAGCCATCTGCTGTACCTTGTGACCAGTCAAGATTAGATTAAAATAGTCTAATTTGGCCATTTGATTTATTCAGGGTCAGACACTGTGGTATGAACCTATGTGCTGCAGCTTGATGTAACTAATGAGCTAGTAATTTGCTTTTCTGTTCTTTGTTACCATAATTGAAGGATATTTGCCATGCTTTTAGTGTCACCATGAGATGACATTTTTTTCACCTTGCTTGACATTAACATGAACAAATTGAGTTATTTTCTGTATTTACATGTCACAATCCCAATACTTCACAGAACAGAAGATATTTTAAAAAGCCCAACCAATAATACCATCATGGTACCAAATGTCTCTCACTAATGGATACTTTGGTGGTTTACACTGTCAATCATAGTCAGTCAGTTATTATGTTAATTGATCCCTCCTTGTGCCATGTTTCACTCTATCTTCTTTCAACTGAAAAAAAATTCCACCAAATTAAGATGCTCCAAAAATACTATGTTATTGTACTTTCTTTCATCATACTATGTAGTGTTTGAGTGTCTGGTTTCTTCCCAGACACAGTGTTTCTTTGCATGTTTGGAGGGCCTCCTGTTCACCTATGCACCTGTCACTAAAACTAAAACTTTAAAAGAGATCTACTGTTGTGAGGTCAGTTGAAGTGATAGAAAGTAAACCAGACTTATGCGATGTCCCCTAGTCAGAGTCTTCACTGCTGCAGTAGGAGCTGTCGCAGCATTCGGCCATGTAGAGGAACTTATGGACGTTGGGATTTAGCTTAGGCACCCAGTGACGGGGCACCAGGAACGTTGCCAGGTTGAACAGATCCACAAACACTTTGTAGCGGTCACTTAAGGGAAAGAAAATGATTTATTAAATATTGAACTCGTGTACTCTTAAAATATAATTGGGCATCTGTTACAAATTGTACTTTCTGAAGGACAAAAGCTAACTTAAACTACTGCTGAAACTTAATGGATGCTGAATAAAGAACTTGTGTCGTAGCTCCTTTGAAATTATTAATAAGTATAGTTTGTGCATGTCAGGAAGAAGTGGCCATATGACAGGTTAATTTAGATAAGCACAGAGTAGCAGTGTCCCGTCCTTATCTAAATGAACTCTGAAGTGTTTAAGATACTTGCAGTGTAAAGTGTTTAATCAGTAGGTTAAAGTTTATAGCATACAATACCTGACAGTAGATCTCAGGTAGTGGTAGCCAGATGAGCCCCCTGTGCCAGCTTTGCTGCCAATCATACGATGCACCATGCATACATGATTGTCTGAAGCAAAAGACAGAAATATCCCTTTGTGATATGAGCAATGTTTTGACTCAATTGTAGCTGTAAATTGTTTAAGACATAAGTGAGACATAGGTGAGTAAAAAATGCATTTCATAGGAATAAACTGTTGGATTGATGATCTGGTGTAGAGGATGTTAGATTATTTTTCTGCCTCTGAGGTCCTGAACTAACTCTATCTCTGCAAACCCCTGTTAGTCCAGCACTGCCTCTGGGCAAAGATTTAAAGAATTTGTTTTTAGTATAAATTAGCTTGCCCCCCAGCACTTACATCTCCATTTTGTCATGAGGGTGTCAATATCCATGAGGGATGTGAGCAGCTGGAAAGGAACTTGGAATCTCGGCTCTTCCCTGAAAGTTGAAGATTGTATTATTTGAAGGACATCTTGCACAAGTATATGGAAAGGTGTCTAGGAGGTGTTCGCAGCACTTGTAAAACGAGAGCGACTATCACCTGCTCACTATCCGCAATGCAGTTAACATGTTTTACAGAGCAGTTTCACATTAATTATCACCATCCAGTGACTTGACACATGACTGTTGACTCTCACATAGGCATAATTAGTCTCACCTGACTTTGTGTCTTTATCACACAGGTTTTAAAAGCTTGCTAACCACACCTTTTGGTAGCACTGACAAATGCCTGGATAATAGTTGAAACCTCAGAAGTTCAATAACTAGTGTTTTACAACTGATGTATCACGTGTTGTTTCAGAGATTGGCTTGTGACATGGAATTTTTAGATGCGAAAGAATAAATCAGGAACAAACACTGAACTGCTCTTAAGCAAGACGCTAAAACCCCAGCTGGCCCAGTGAAAGTGTGGTCAACAGTGGAAGACTGTGTGTACTGTGCAGCTCCCAGGTGTAGAAATGTATAAGTATATGAATCTGAAGCAAACATAACACAGATATACTGTGTCAGCACAAGTTCACTGTGAAGGAAAGCTAGTAAAAACTACATACCTGTAGAAGTAGATCATTAGGGCGCCTTGGAGAGCCTTGTAAGAGAGCCGTCTCTCACCTTGTTAGCAAAATTGAAAATATATTACTTTTAAAAGTCTTTATTTACAGTAATACAAAGCATTAATAGGCCTATAATGTTGAGTCAAATGTAGATAACAAACAGATATGTGGAGTCTTGACAAACACTGGATTATTACATTTGATTAATTGAGAAAGCACTCGCCTTTGCTAAGGAGATGGTCATGGCGCTTTTCATCAAACAGAGAAGTGAACAGCTCTCTCTGTTTGACCAGCTCAGCCATCATTTCCTCCTTCTCCTCAGAATCAAGTATTTTCTTTAAAAAAAAAAAACAACAACAACAACCCGTAAATAAAAATACAGTCTCTGTCAATCATCTTTGCACTCCAAGGTGAGCAAACTTTTTTTTTTTTCTTCGGAAAGCCAGTCATCTCTTACCTCGATTTTCTCCTTTTCCTGATTCAACCCATCAAATATATTGATTTCCAGCCTTTCCCAGAAATTGAATCCATCCACCTCCAAGCCAGGAGTTCTCTCCAGCCACTCCTGAAAAGAACAGCCCAAGGTTTTATCACTTTTATACCCTGTTCAGGAGCAGATGTGCTTATCTAGCACAGGATACAGTGAACAGTTGCTTTGAAAATACAGTAGAAGATGATTCACAGTGGAATAAAATGATGCCTTCTTTAACTGTTGATTACATTTAAAAATCGATGACCACGTGCCGGTGTTTGGTGGTTGTAAGATATACCTCGACTAGTTTCAAGAGCGTCGGCTCCTTTTCAGTGGCGAGCAGCATCTCACTGTCATGACCCTTGAAATTGTCCCTGTAATGGCGTCTGTTGTATGGAACCCTCAGGTTGTCCGGGACCCCGATTTTGTTCTCCAGGATCCGAAACTGAAGGCTTTGGAATCCAGAGGCAGGAGACAGGTATTCCCTACAGACACACACACACACAAGTAAGTAAACATTCAAACACAAACAGAGTGCACTATCATGGAGGAGTGCATCTTATAAAATTTTCAGTGCTGAAGTAGACAGAGCCAGAAGTTATTTATAAGCTAACCTAAAGTCAAAAAAGTCCAAGGCTGTCATCGTTTCCAAAACTGCAAACTGGTCGACCAACAGTCTGTAGATCATTACAATCCGGTGGATGCGAGTGTTGACTTTGAGCATATTGCGTTCGTCTCGGACCTGGTGGAATAGTAGAATGTTTAAGGAAATGATACCAAACCATTGTAAAGCTTGTAAGTACATACCCTGACACAGGAAAACACAATGTATGTATCACTATTGTCTCAACCTAATGTGTGTCTCTTTTAGGAGAAAAAGAAGTAGATGCACAAAATGTCTTACTTTTCCCTGGCTGAACTCCAAAGCCAGAATGAATAAGACAAATAATTTCTATTGAATATGACTTTGTTTTAAACAGAGGAACTGTGAGATCTGATTACCATAGTGTTCTCCTGTGATGATTTTGTACTCTTTAATTTATTTAAATTGTTCTAATTTGTGGTTTTGTATTTTAAGCAGCGTTCAATTCCCAACACTGACTAAAAGATTTGAATTTAGTGGTACAAAGAGTTCCTCTCTGCTTCAGAATCAAGTGACAGTATTTAAAAACTGGAAAAATAAAACAGAAACACAATCACATAACCTTTGTAAGGTTTCTTTACCCCAGGATTGTGACTTACATGTCCACTGATGAAGATCTCACGCACTGAGTCAAGTTCAAACAAAATCTGTTTGAACCACAGTTCATAGGCTGGAGTAAAACACAAACGGTTGAAGAATTTTAGTACAATATTACAAGGTAAACACAAAGGTCAGTAAGAATTCAGGGCTAATTGCAGACCAAAAAATGCCCTCTTGTATTCAGTGTTATATATTTTTGAGGAACAAATCTACTTCTCTAACTTCTTAGGTTGAAATCAGTTTAGTTATGGTATTTTTTGGATTCCAGGGCAATCTTTTTTTTATAAAAAAAAAAAAATTCAAGTTTCAATGCAGAAAAAAATGCTCTTAACTACTACAAAGCTCCAGTAGTTTTACCTTGGTGGGTGACAATGAAGAGGTGCTCATCGTGGATCTTATTACCCTTTAGTTCACTCTGCAACACCTGGGCTGAGACTATTTTGTCAAGCTGAGAGATGGAAAGAAATTAAGCACTTGACTTTAAAACACAAATCCAAATTCCTGTACTCATCTTTCTTTACAAAAGCCGTGCACAAAGATAAATACGTTTTATAGACTGTGTTTTCTACCTGCAGGTAGTCTCCATAGATGATTCCTCCTTTACTGGCCTTGTTAACCCCTGCCTGCGAGGCATCCTCATCTTCTTCCGTTGAAGGAGGCTTGTTTTTGAATAACCTGCAGTGCGAAGAAAGAAGGCCTGTTGTTACTTGGTGTGTTTTTCCATCATCGGGATAAGTAATGAATTGTTAGAAGGCTCCATTTAATAGAATTTGGAAAAAAAACAAGGAACAAGATCCTTTAGAGCCCTATTTTAGGTGCAATAACAATTTGAACGTACAAATGCCTCTTCTCAAAGTACGGACATCCACTCATGGCTTTTCCAAATCAGTTGCGGCAAAGCTGTATTCTTCTTCCTTGACTGATATTAACTAAAATTGTCTTCAACGCAATCCACATTTTTAAAGATTCACCTCATCCAATCACTCATGAGGATACAGTCACCATCCGGCCCGCCTCTATTTGCCCCATGGAGCTGTTGTTTACCTTGAACTGGGACCACCTTCTGGACTTTGCTAACGATCAGTCACAGGATCCTTTTCAAGTATTTAAATGCAAAATAAATATCAAACTTGATTCTTTTTAGACAAATAATTAAATGAACTGTAAAGTCAAATATATTTAACCTGAGGTGATTTTAAATGTCTAATTACTGCTCCATTATACTATAGAACAAGCAGTGTGTTCGGGAAACTTCTGTGTGGACCTTGCTGTCTCGGTCACAGGGTATCTACAGTGTTTACTCTTAAGGATTTGTTGTTTATGTCTATGTAACGTCTTTTACAAATAGTGAACTTGGTTATGTAAGCGTCTGACTGAGAGGAATGGAGTTCTTGTGTGTATACAGTATATTGACAACACAGACACAATGTCCCTGAAATGCACTTTAGATCTTTTTCGTTTTACCATAAAAGTTTCTAAAAAATACATTGCAATATATATATATATATATATATATATATATTATATATATATATTTATTTTTTGTCGAAGAAAGATGTGTAGAGGTTTGTCCTAGTCAAGT